CCAGCGTCAAAAGTTGGGAATGGTACCAAAATAAGGGATCTGTACTTGTCCTACTTTTTTGGTACCCTTCTGTTTGGGTGCCAAGGGTTCCGATCTGACTCACTTTTGTTACTGTGTCCTGTTCTTCTTCTTCATTGAACTTAATTATAGCGGCTACACTGTGTTGGGCTGCTATGATGTCACACTATTTCAAAGCTGATATCTCTATCTGGCTTGCACTCCGCTTACCAAATAAGGGTACGGTTGGCTGTGAAAACATCATCAAGATCAGGGTTTACCATACTGAACCAAACCGGACTGCTTGGTGGAAACGGGGCTATATATGTCCTTCTTGTGATTGACTGGTGACCAGTACAGGTTGTACCCGGCCTCTTCCAAATGACAAATGAGATCGGCTCCAGCCCCCAACCACCCAGAACGGGAAAAGTTGTATAGATAATGGATGGATGGATGTGGACCTGTCATTAAAGTAGCTGATTTTGAGTTTCTTTGATAATGTCTGAAACGGTTCTCAGTCATCGTGGCATTCAAAGTCTAATTTAACAGACGACTCTGTTGAAATCAAAACGTTCCACCGCTCATCTAAAAGGCTCCTTCAGTTCTGAAAGACAGAGCTGGACTCCATCAGGTTAACCTTTGAATCTCTGTGATAACATTTAGAAGGGAAGCAGTTTGTGACCTTAGTTCTATGAATTTTTGTTCACTAAACTATAATTTCATAACCTTTTTAATCCGATCTACCTCCACGGCTCTATCAAGCGAGCTCAAGCACCTCTCCACAGACACAAGTTCTTTTGGAAATGAAACCTTTTTAACATGCAAAAGGTGGAAATTGACATCATCAAAAGGAAAGAGCACTGGACATGTTCATGTGTAGGCGATAAAAAATATTGTTATTATGACCTATGAGATCACAGGACAGTAATGGTGAGCTGAAACTTTTAGCAGGGAGCAGTGTGGAGCAGTTTTCGTAATCTAGCCAAATGTTTTGAGAAGGAAAGCATTTCTTGTTTTGTTTTGGGGTTTTTTCCAAATCAGCGAAGTTTGTAATATTTTTCCTATGATTGTTTTCAGACCATGTCTTCATATGAGGGGGTGTCAACGTGGAGAATACATTTTCTCGGTGTATTGTTTTGTTTTCAGGGAATCTACTTTCGTATTCTTACTTTTGAATATTTTTATTCCAGCTCTTTTGTCATGAAGTGCAGCCACATTTTTTACTCTGTCCCCCTTCAAATATCTATCGCCACATCATCATACACACAGCCTCAGTTTCCTCAGTTACAGATTCACAGTGCTGCATGAGGACTCGTATTCATAAAGCCTTTACATAACCCCGTGATGTGCATCATACACAAACTCATCGCCCACGCGCAGATCACATGTATCTATAGTGATACAACTTATGGTTTTGATTGTGATCATATCAGACGGCGGGCTCTATGCTGCAGTTTGTTGCTCTCTGACACTAATTGGTACATATTGGGAGCCACAGTGAGTCGCATGTCCTGGGCCCATACTAGTAATCACCATCGGGAGTCTGACATGAATTTTCCTCAGAGTTACTCAGAGTTGGTGAATTCTATTTATGGCAAATCCAGCATGATGTGATTAGAGGGAGGCAGAAATATGCTGGCTATTTGTCCGAGGGGGATACACAGAAGAAACACATCTAATCTATTCATTGAGGAACATATAAACGTCTGACAGTCACGTTAGGCACATTATTAAAATTGAAAAAATAATGTAATGAAGTTGGGTTTTACATGATTGATTATTGGGTAAACAAGAGTCGACATGAGTAAACATTAAAGGAATCAAGATATTTCTAAGGTTTATTACCAACAATGTTTGATGACTCCAACAAATCAGAATGATTATTTTTTTCCTTTTAAGGATCATTTGTGTTCTCTCACATCCTCTTTCTCTGTCCGTCCTTTTGTGTTGATCTCAAACTCTCCCTCTCTCATCTTCTGTTTGGATCCTTCTCTCTTATAAATGGGCTTACTCGATTAATTTGAACTGACTGGCAAATTAAGAAGGAGAAGTCGGCACGGCCAAATGGAGCATTACTTATCCTAATTTAATAATTAGCTGAAGAAAGTTGATGACTACTCTGGGGAGGGACACTAATGCACCTGCTGCCCCACCAGCAGCAATCTGCCCCCTAATTCAAGCCTTCCAATGAGTGACCTCTCAGCCCTCTGTACTCTTAATGCTGAGGGATAGTCGGCTCACAAGCTAACCCCTCATAGTTAGCATGCTGTGCAAAAGACTTGTGGTCACATGGATGTATCATGTGGCTTTATTGACTGTTATCTTGGATTGATGACTTTAAAGCATTATCTCAATAAATGGGTCCTTTAAGGGACATTTAATAACATTTAATTTAAGGTTTTTGTTACCTTAAAATCACAATATGACATGAATAATCGGCTTTCTTTCTTAGTCTTTTCAAAGTGCGTTTGTTGTGCTCAAAAGATTTGAGAAAGAAAAGATGACAAACCCCCCCCCCCCCCGACAACAAACAAAGACACAAACTGCAGGGAGACAATCACGGATGGATATGAAAAGGCACACTTATCCACCGCGGTTCATTCCTGTCCTTGATCATTTGTTGCAGCTTCTTGTTCTGTATGAACATGTTTTTGTTTGTTAGAGAATTCATCATAGAGGTTTTTTATTCAGATGCTCTAAACTTGACAGGGACTCTGCTGTCAAAAGAGATATCACGTTCATGTTAGTTCAGTCATTTCTGTGACGGCTGCACAGAGTGGAGAGTTAAAGGTGATGTGTTTCGTTAAAAGTGCATGATGGGAAAAAAGGTTTTAGGATCATTTGTGTCAGTTTGAGCATAAGTTTGCAGCAGATGTATCCCTGTGACTGAAACAAATGAACAAATATTTGCAATCTTGCGGCAGTTTGACCCTTAAAGGATCAAGATGAAAATCTGACACCTAGTGTTTAAAATGGGTACTGCAGTCCAAACTTAAAACATTGGAGATAGCTGTCTCCCCCCGTCCCCTCCTCTCTGGAGTCGATGCTCACGCAGGTTGCCATGTTGTTGAAACTGAAGCTATAGCGTTTAGCCAGCTCTGCATCGCTCTGTTAAACCTTTCTGTGTTCTAACCACTCTCCATTTTTCAAAAGCATATCCAATATTCATTTTAGCTTGACCATGCTTCTGTTTGTGGAGCTTCTTGAAAAATGGCAAGACTTTTTAAGTCGGGTAGAATCAATTATACCTGAACCAGTTCGTTTGCCCGCTTCCATTGCTGCAACACCTGCTGGTTTGCTGTTTGCCGGGCAAACCGAGGGGCGAGGGGCGAAACAGCCGTGGGGGGTCGCGGTGAAACCGGCTACCTTCTCTGATCAAAACAAAAATAAACCATTAACCTTTGCCTCAGAAAGAATGAGCAAACACCCGTATGAAACAAACTCAGCTCTCCACTTTGACTCTACCACATTTCAACTGCACAATAAGATTTTTATTGTCGCCCAGATATCAACATCCACAATTAAACACCTCACATATAAGACAGCCTTAAATTAAAAATGATTAAGAGGGTTTTATTTGTTCCCTTATTTTCAGCATGCAAACACCGTACTGATCAGACAGTCCCCTGAATGAAGCCTAGTCTACATCTAAAAGATAGTATGACCTCGTCGTGAGGCAGTCGGACACGTCTACTATTTGGGAATATTTTGGATTTAGAAGAGCATTTTACAAATACATACATATAAAACATGCTGAACTTCAGAAAATATGACACCATGTAATATTCACACCGTGGAAAAGACTGAAGGTTAAGGATCATTTGTGTTCTCTCACATCCTGTTTCTGTCTGTTCTAACATATCTGATAATCGTTGTTTTATTAACCGTCATATTGTCATTTCCATACTGAAAGATCTTAGCACACATTGCAGGTTTTCCTTATATGGCCTTCTGCAAATCACCCCAAAGCATATGAGATATTTGAGGCAAACTGCAGATATAGAGTGTAGCTTGTATGCAGATAATCAAAGAAGAGAAGTTAAATTCATGTACGATTTAATTCATCCATCCATTGTCTATAATGCTTTTTCACGTTCGGGGTCACGGGGGGCTGGAGCCGATCCCAGCTGTCATTGGGCGAGACCCTGGTTACACCCTGGACTGTTTTTGGCAGTAAATCACAGAGCTGACATATAGAGAGCCACCCTCTCATTCACACCTACAGGCAATTTAGAGTCATTAAAAAAATAATCATTAATTAACCTAACAAGCATGTCTTTGGACTGTCGAAGGAAGCCGGAGTACCCGGAGGGAACCTACACATGCACAGGGAGAACATGCAAACTCCACACAGAGAGCCTCCTGTCTGATGGGGATTCGAACCAGGAACCTCCTCGCTGTGAGGCGACAGCGCTAACAACTGCACCACTGCAAAGTGCAGCCCAAATGTAGTTCATGCAAATTAAAATGAATGATAATAAAATGCTATGTTATGGGAGTAGTTTGGCACATTGCTCTGGTTCCTTGTCAGAGGTGCAGCTGTTTGTGTGGCTTAGAGTTCTGCACAGAGAAACATGCACCAGGAAAATCCATTATTATAAGTCAAATCCTACAGTAGCATTTTTCCTGCTGAGACTGACTCTCACTGTTGATTAAGTGCAGGTTTAATCACTGCTGAGACCCTGTGTTGGCGGTACCTGGCCTCGCCTCCTACAACAGGGACTAAGCCTCTGGCTGATTACCACATCCACATGCTAATAACACCACCCGTATTGCATACCTGCGGTAGAGAAATGTCTCTCTGATTATGATGCGTGGTTTTGACATAGCTTGAAGGAGATTTTCCCGCTTGGCTCTGCTGTGAGAGTGAGATGCATGCTGTCAGTGAGTACAACAACAAAACAAGCCGCTAAACTGCAAACATGACGTCAGTGCTGCCTTTGTGAGGAGAAATAAAAAGGTCTCTGCTTTTTTCTTTTTTTCTTTTTTTTTTACTGTTGCAGGCGAGGAGAACTCACCGGGCTGGTTATATGGCGAGGACGAAGGGAAGTCGCTGGCCCCGTTCTTGTGTCCACTGCTGGCCAGTCATATGCCCGTCTTTGCTACAAAGTCAGCGGAGAGAAAGGTAAATCCACTGCCAGCATAAGAAGTCTAACACTATTTTCAGATTAAACAGGAACATGATGTGGTCTGATGTTTGAGAAGAAGTAAAAGTCTTTCCATGTTTTCATGCAGTTAGTTTGTAATGAACAGTGACAAAAGGAAAAAGCAGAAAGACTCTTAAAACGAGACAAACACTCGTAGACATTACTGGAATTAAACTCAGTTTGGTCCATGTGTCAATACAAACTGAACAGATATATCCAGGCCATGGTGTTTGTGAAATGTATACATTCTAAGCAATCATAAATAGGGCTACAAGTCACAATTATTTTCATCTGTTCTTCATTTTCTAGAAGTATAAAAGTACAAAAAAAAAAAGATGATCAGTGTTCTTAAAGCCCAAAACATCTTCTTATGTTAACTTTGGCTTTCAATACTCATTTGTCTTTTAAAGAGGATTAAGAACTAAATTTTTAAAGTTGTCTTTTAAACACACACACACACACACACACACACACACACACAAAATCCGATGGACAGGCACTAACAGAGAAATGTGCGAGTGATGGGGCTGCACTAGAACAAGTGCCACAAGCAGTTTAGGGTTTGTTTGCGACCTTTGCCGTGCTCGAGAAGTCAACTGGCACCTCTCCAGCTATCAGTACCGATTTCTAGACTTTGGTCTTCAAAAGTTGAACTGGTAACTCTCAGACTCTCTAACAAAGTCCTTACGAACTAATCCACAGCCACCCACAATGTAGCCTCACAATACAGTCTCCATTTTTTAACTAATGTTAGCTGCTTTTAGCACGTCCTTATTGAATATGAGCTACTAGTGCTTTTAGCAGATAATATTCACTCCGTGAAAAAAGTTGACAGCTAATAGATTGATCAAGTCAGCCCTAATTACAATACATGTCATTTGAATTTGCAGAGTTATCATGAAAACATATTTATGTCAAAAGTAGATAATAATCACTTGTGTAATAAATACCTCAATGTAAAATGATAAACATATGTGTGAACATATCATCATATTATGAGATATAGAAGGAGGGAGCTCAGAGTTAACATTTGGTATAACCTCTGAAAGTGTGTCATATTTCCCGACACGGTCTCGTCGCTGATTTAAAGAATACTTCAGACAAAACCTTTGAACACATAGAGGTCAACACCTAATGAAAAACTTTATTGCAAATTGAAAGAAAAAATGTTAAAAGTATAATAAGCAGTAGTGTAGTGCAGGTTATACACAGAGTACAGTATATTCACTTATTTTTCAGTCTCCATAGGGGTATAACCACTTCTAAATCTGTTCTGATTCACAGCAATGATTGACTTACTATATTCAGTCGTATGCTGCAGTTTATAGGACGTGAAGTGATGACCCTCCCTACTCTGTCTGGCTAGTATAGTATAGTATAGTATAGTAAGAGTAGTCACACATGTAACTGTTCATAACAAAGGCAGTTTATCCTCTGCTGGACACAAAACAAACATTTGGGGGGGAAATAAGGAGTATACCCACTTCTTAAGGCTACACTGATAATAACCTGTGTGTTGACTCATGGCCTGGAGCTGTGCCTCAAGATGATGAAGCACTTATTAATATACGAAGCATTCTGCTTTTAATACTTTCTCTCTTATCAGAGTCATTAAATCGGATGGAGATAACCATTACTTTCACTATCTGATGAAGTATTTTACAATAAGTGATGCAGCACCCCAGCAGGATCATCTCTGAGTCACTTTCAGTTCTTAAAATTTCAAATCACTGCTTCTCTCTCAGAGCCGGCCATTTGTGTCTTAGAAGCAAAGACTTGGAAACGTTCAACATTTATAAACTGGTAGTGTTCATTCTCAGGAAGCAAAGTGCCTCCCTTTGGATCAATCTGTCAAAGAGATTTGACTCTCCCCGACGCTAACTTCTCCTCTGAAGCAGCCATTAGACCACAGCACCGCTGCAATCTTTATTTAGTCAGGAGAGATCATAGCGCCATTTAACACAGCCGTTTCCCATCGAAGGCAATCAAAGCCCACTTGCGTTGCCCTAACAGCTAAAAATACATTGTCTCAGTGATGATCTCACTCAAAAACACCCAGACTGTTAGCATTACAAGGTGACACAGGAGCTTCCGCTCAAGACGCTGCCTGAAGAATTTGGATCGATACAGGCTGTTAAGACCTGGAAGCCTCCAATAGATCAAATGGTCAGCCCAGGTGAGAGATAGACTAAAAGGGTTTAAGGAGTCAGTGGAAATGGAATAAAAATCAATTTGCAGGAGCTGAAAGATGATATTTTCCAACCACATTTTCTTTTTGCTTTAATGTGGTTACGGGTCTGACTATGCAACGTGGGCGGAAGAGGGGGTGGGGCGGGGGCGCATTATCATGGCCACAAGAGGTGGATGTTATAAAGTGATCATGCAATTATCTTAATGGCTGTGGGACACCCAAGCATAAATCGATGCTCCAACATTAGATTAAGACCGATATGCACTAACGTGTAGTCTGCTGGCCGTGAGGACGTAAGGAGGATAGTGAGGTGAAGCTGCAGCTGGAAGTAGAGAAAGTCAGCGAAGGAAGGGACATCCCAAAAAGATTTAGGGATACTTCAAAGGTGTGTTACACCTGAGTAGAAGCGGAGCCAAGTTCATTTATGTATTTTGAGCCCTCAGAACCCCCACAGTCTTGGGGGGGATCTGATCATACTCTCCTTGTCTCGCTCAAACAAATGAAGCACCTGAGCTCGCCAGCAGCGGGCACAGCAAACCTTCTCTGTCTCAAATATAGGTTTACCGTGAGCATAAGAGTGCGTTCATGTTTTTATTGACTGAGACCTATCAAATTGATAATGTTAATTTCTTTGTTTATTTAAATGATGTATCTTTTGTTTCATGTTTATTTGTATCGGGACAAGAATAGAGCAAGTAAACTGATGCCGCACACTTCAGCAATTATAGCCGGCAAAAATCCTGCAGTTCATCGAGTGTCCACTAGAGGCTGGCTCCAGGAGCACCGGAAGTCACATACACACCCCATTTAAAAAAAAAAAAAAAAAAAAAAAAAAGCAGTTTTTACAGCAGAAATTAACATGTTTACAGCCTGGAACCAGAACACGATATTGGTCTGATTAGTCATTGTCATCACTGGCACACACTGTACGGAGGGTTATTTTTATTTTTTTTAAACGGCTCCGTTTTGATGTTGAAAACAATATGTGTCATCTATAGTTAGGCGCGTAGCTGACATGATTGACAGGTGGAAACGATGTAACGGTTCATAAAGAGGTTTAAAACCTGCCTCAGCTCCAGCTCTCAGCCTGTTGTTAGGTTGACTGAGAGTTAGGCTGAGACAAGATTTCCAACATGGCGGCTGCTGCTGATGTGCCTCCAGAGCCCCCTGCAGGAACAGATGGGTGACGTCACTCAGTGTCCATTAATATTTACAGTCTATGGTATTAACATATTTGCCACTTGGGAGGTACAATAATTAACAAAAAATCTCCATTACATAATAAATATCTGATATCTGTTTTACAGTCTGGCTCCTCTCAAAGCTTGTTCTTATAAAATAGGACTCAAATACCTGGAACTGGAGAGCTTTCATCTTGGAGTAGGGAATAAACTTCAAAGTTATTGAAATAAAAGCCGAATAAAGAGCAGGCTATTTGATACGAGGAAAGAGTTAAAAGGTCCTGTTGTATTTTCACTCTTTCATTGTACTATATGTTTAATGTTCATCGAGTTGAAAGAGCTTGTATGTTCTTTGACTCTTTCCATGAGGACTTCAAGGGCATGAAAAAAAAAAAATAGAATAAAAAGCGAGCTGTTTGCCTGAAGATAGAAAAAATCACATACTATTCTCAGTGTTTTCTTGCTACATATTCTGACCTTGTTAGGCTAAATTTAGTCGGTCCACTTGAACGTGAACATGAGTCGGGCAGCAAAGAGGCGAGAAGTCGAGGCTTCTGTGAAATTTCTACAAGGGAGACGTTTCTGCTTGCATAGCTGCGTGTGCAAGTTGACTGAGTTCATGTATGTGTCCCTGCCTTTATGCATGTGCTTATGTTGCACTTATCTCTGTATTTGACTCGATGCTGCAGCTGTGCACATAGCAAGAATGGGTATGTGATAGTAATGGGGGGGCTGGGTATCAGAATGCTAAAGAGGTAAGCAGTAGAATTTATTTGACTAAAGAGAAGGTGGCGGTAAACGGAGTGACTTTAAGTCCTTCATGCAGAGTAGACTGTGATTAGGGGCTTAACTCCCCCCACCCCTCCGTCTCCGTCTCTGTGTCTCCATCTTTGCCTCAGCCACTGCCTCTGGGACACAAACGCCTCTCTGTGCCAAAGCTCCGCAGCTTCTCTTTCTCCAGCTCTCTTGGCAGTCTGAGTTACAGTGAGCAGAAAAGGAGGCAAAAAAAAAAGAAATCCCAGATTAAAAGAGATGTGGCCGAAGGGGCTATTTCCGACAAAAAAAAAATAAAGTTCTAAAGCAGCATAGCATGAACAAGCCTCGCAGGTCACCTAAGGGAGCTGAACCCTCGGCTGACTGTGTGCAGCGCCGGGCACCCCGGTCCACTCGGTGGGAGCCGGAGAGGGCTACTGGGCCAACTGGTTAGGCACCGGAGATAAACCTTATCACGAGTGTGCTGAGTGAGAACAGCGAGGCAGACTGAGTCCTCTCAATTTATCTCTTTCATTTTCTCTCTCTCTCTCTCTCTCTCTCTCTCACACACACACACACACACACACAGGCGCTATCTTGGTTAATAGACAAACCACATTCTGATGGTCTTTGTTGTTTAAAGAGTCAGAGCACGCTCCGTTTCGGTGCCCTCTCTGCCATTTTGAGAGATGAAACGGAGCAGTTTTGGCAGTCAGCCCAAAGGGAAGCTGTGAGGTAGTTGGGTTAAGGGATTAATAGGAGATACTGTAACATAAAGGGGAACAGCTGAACCAGATTTCTCTGCAGCACAATCAAGTGTTAAATGAAACAATTAACATCACTGTCTGCACAA